AATTTTACATCAATGCATGTCGTCACATCTCCCTTTCCTCATTACCCCCATTACAATAGATACCCAAATACACCCAGTCATCTCCGCCCCCAAAACGTTCAAACAGAATGAACAAAGAAATCCTCCCTTTCTCCACCCCTTTACAGCTATACAGCTATATTTTTCTCCATCCCACATAATAAGAATGCCCCCTGCCGGTCCAGACGCAGGTAAGAATTCTCATTCAACCTTGCCTTCTTTCCACAAACTTTTAATAATCTGCAAATCAATCACCTCCATTTTAGTCTCTTGTAAACAAACAACATCTGGCCTCCACCTTTTGATACAGCCTTTAATTACTCATCTCTTCTACCTATGGTTCAAACCCCTAACATTCCAAAGAGATTATCTTTCCTGTCATGATTTTTTACATCATTGCTATGATTCCCCTCCCCCTTTCTGCCACTCTTCTTTCTCTCATAATTCATGGACCATTCAAGTCTTTTTAATTCCCTGCTCCCTCCTTCCCCTTGCTTCTTTCTTATTTTTTTACCTTTCTTTCTACTCGTCTTTATTTCAAAAAACTTTTGTTCCATCTCCTCAAGTAAATTCAAAATTTTAATTTCGAGACCATCAATACTCATACCAAACATCTTACTAACATTTGTAAAGTTTCTCTGAACTCATTCTGAATACTGTCTCTCCAAGCTAACCTCATCCCTCCAGACCTGAATGGCATCATTCAAGGCATCACACTGTAGAGGAGTCACGTCCAACCCTTCACCATGCTCAACATACACCCCAACATCCGTCAATGGTTTCCTTCCCCCCCCCCCCCCCCACCAAACACACTAACACCAAATTGTCTCTCTCATCTTTCGCTTCCTCGTACTCCTCCACCATTGTCGTTTCACTGTCCACATTAGTGACAGCATTTGTTTCTCCATTTTTCTCACTAATCACATCAGTCGTATCCTCCACACTCGGCACTAACGACTCGGCCTCTCGTTCCTCCCAAGCACTAGCGATAACAAATTCCTCAAACTGCTTTTCTCCTTTTTCCTCTTTATTTTTCTCAAGCAAATTGTTTCTCTCCAGTAAATTTAAGTTGGTTGGACCAAATTTGACGTGTTTGGGTAGCCATATTGTTTTAACCTGTTTTTTACCCAACTTCCTACTCGGTCCAGTTTGGGCGATCCATTTACCTTTTTCAGCCCACGTGAATTTTTTTCTTCTTTCCCCTTTCGGCCCAAGTAATGTGGTTTTCAATTCCTGCCCTTTCTCCCGAACGTGACCTCTCATCTCCTTATTTTTGAAATTCAAATGGATCCAGGCCACCTCTTCACGACCTGACAGCCCCGTCTACCTTACCCATCTTGTGGCTGTCGGCGGCTTGCAAAGGATCTCTGCAAAAGTCACCGATTTCTGCTCTAACCGAAAGTCCCACTCCAATTTGCACTCATGACACTTCATAACCATCTTTAAGGGTTCGTCTTGAGTAATCTGTTGCGTTACTGCCACCTGACCACTACCCTTAAGCCAATCCGAAGGGACCAGCTCTATCCCTGCCACTTCGTGGAAAGCCTCCAAAAGTTGCCACCAATCATCTGCTTTGTCTCCTTCTCTTCTTTTTCAGCAGAGTGCCATCCACAATGTTCTCCAGCTAGACTTGCAACGTCTTCCCCATGCTCTTTCTTTCTTACACCTGAACTCTCTGAAGCAATGGAGCGGCCAACCCAAGTCATCTCTTTGATAGAAGATGGATTTTCGAAACCCCCGACCATTCTCGTACACCCTTATCCCTCTCCCATCTCCCACAACGTCAAAACGACTTTTGCTCAACAAATAGGCGTCTCCTTAGGCCCACGACCATTTCTAGCCGAAGCGACTATCATCTTGGAACGGCAGTCGCGATTGTAAGGTCACTCTCTCTCACTCTCTCTAGGACGCTCATTAGTAAACGAGAGACAACAATACTATAACTGCATCACACTGGAGCTCAATTATATTTTCCATTTTAAATGGCAAGCGCAGGGCCGTGATATAGTAAAAGGCTTCTCCTTTTCTCCACAGGAGAAAGAAAACTTCCAATTTAAATATTCTTTCACAATAGAGTAAGACAGAAATGTAATAAGTTTTTTCTTTTCCTTTTTAAGTTTAGAAACTATATGTTAGTGCTCCAGGCATAGCAAGATCTATATGTCAAATGGAAGAATGTGAAGTGCAAAGTTTGAAGATCTGAGCTCTAATCACTAGACTTCATCTTAATAAAAACCTTCATTTCTGAGCTCTAATCACTGGACTTCATCATAATAAAAACCTAATAAATGATCTAAGCATACCAAGAGTGACCAACCCCATCAAAAAACTGATGGAATGTAGAAGAAGCATCTCGCAATGTGATTCGAAGCAACAATTTTTTTAAATTCAATAGCACAATCACCATTTACTGGCTTTAAATTGGAACTTACAAGAATCCCTTCAAGATCCTTTGAAGAATATGCATGGACCATCTTCCCTCTTTCTCTTCCCTTATATCTAGTATCCACAAAAAATAAATTACAAGAAAACCAGAACAAGCGGCTTTGGCATTGAAAATGTACATCAATCACACGTCATGAATAGCACACCAACCTTCCTTGTGGTCGAGTAGCCTTACTTGCTGAATCCTGAACTTCATCATTGGCATCTACCTCAGTGTCTACTTCAGTATCATTCTTCTCAAAGACTGTTAGATACAAATACAACATTTCATTAACCACAAATGGCAAGTCGAGGCACAATATCTACTGTCTATATGTTTTGTTTTCACCTGCATTACTGTTGTCTGCCGCTTTCTGTCACAACATCAAAAAGAAAAAGTGAACATGAATACCTTCTCTGGACTATCAAACTTCATTACTACCCTAAAATTAAGAACCAGAATATGAATTTTACCACTTTCAATCTTTTGAGGATACTATCAAACTGAGCTGTATCAAATGCCCAAGGATTTGGCTTATCTAGACCAATACCTGTTAAAATTCATTGAAAAGATAGTAACAAAGAAATTTTAGTAGTCGAATCAACAATCAATAAGCAAAAAAGTGCATTCACAAGGAGAACATCTTTTCAAAGTTCAAATTCTATGTAATGTCACTAGGGCATAGGCCCAGCTCGAGTAAATTTTCCATCTTTAACATTAAATAATACTAACTATAGCTCCATAATTCGAAGTCTACACTAATGTCTTTTTCCCAAACTATTTTCCAGCAAGCAAACAGGACATCAAAATAAACAAACAAAAAGAAAATAGAGTAGAAAGAAAGAGAAGAACCAATTGTGTCCTGTTTGTTCTTTACTCTGATGTGCCCTTTTATTCCTTGCTTATCCTTCCCAAGTCCTTCGCCTTCTTCCCATCCCTAAAAACACATCCAAACACACAATAGATCACGCATTTAAGAAAATACATAAACCTAAATAATTGCACGTACTTCTGCATAGAGAAAAGAGTAAGTACCATTTGTTTCATGAGGCGGAAAGCCGCGGATTCACGAGGGACACCGACATAACGTAAAGGGGCTTCGGGGGCGGCCATAGTTTCTTCTTTTGATCGGCCGCCAACGATCGACCACCGTTCTGTTGAAGGTCGTGAAAGAGACGAGACCCCGAGATGGAACTCCAGAAAAACCTAGGCGGAAGCGAGAAAGTACACGATGTATCGGATACTAGGAAAATTGCTGTGTAACCATTTCGCTAACGGTGAAGATTTGATCGGCTACTTTGTGGTCCCCATGATCAAAGTTTGGGCGCCCATGATTGGACGTCTGTTGTTCTCTTTAACTACAGCAGCTATGATTCGACTACCAGGGCATTGGCATGTGAAGCTTCCACGAATTAAAAAGAACGTCTTCGTGGCAGATTCGAAAAGAAAATTTTTATTTTAAAATAATTAAAAATAAAAAAATGTAGGGATGAATTTAAAAGAGAGAGAAGTAAATAAGGCAAAATTTTGGTCTCCCTCCCTCTAATTCACCTTGGGTTTTCCTTTTTATGGTGGTAGGCTTGTCTCTCGCATGCTCCTCCGATTTTTATGATCTTCTTAAGAGCTCCCTACCACCTCCACCAACACCAAACACAAGAAGCTTCCTTGTCACTTGGGCATGAGCACATATTTGAAAAAAGCATTTTAAGGCCAACTTAGCTTCCCTACACATAGTACTGTAGAAGATTATACACCAACAAATGCAGATCATACACCAACAGTTGCAGAAAATTATATACTAGCAGCTGCAAAACATCAAAAACTAGCAGCTACAAAGAATCTGACATCAACAGCTTTTCAGTCACTCCTCACCAGTCATGCTGTCATTTTGCAAATTCTTTAAAACAAACTTTGTCATTATTTGTTTTCTCTCTCACAACACATGTTCATCTTTCTTTGGTACATGTATAATCTTAATCCATAATAAGAATTGATTTCTCTCAGCAAACACAACTAAAAGTTATCCAGTAATATTCAACAAATATTTTATCTTAGTATCAGAGTCATCCATGGCTAAAGATGATATGAGCTCCTCTATTTTAGGATGAAAGAAACAAGAAACAAATACCTTAAATATCAACACAGAGATAAAAGCATTAAACATGTTTTGAAATTCTATTGCGCCTTATTCAACAGTTAAGCTAAACCATGACAATTTTCTTTTGTGGAAGAATATGATTCATCTAGTCATCAAAGGAAACAAGCTTGAAGGTTATAACACATGTGCGAAACTTTGTCCGCTTGAGTTTTCTCAAGTTCATGTTGAAGGAATAGAAGATATTCAAGTGGTTATGAATCCAGAATATGAAGAATGGTTCACTCTTGATCAGATTCTACTTGGTTGGATTTATAACTCGATAGAACCTGATGTGAGCCTGGACATAGACCAGAAAGAGAATGCTCAATCCAAAAAAAAAGGAGGAAATAGGCCAAAAATGAGATCTTACAGCCGGCCCTAAATTTTCATATGTCTCCCCATTAATTTGATCATAATCTCTTTTAATTAAAGGAGAAGATTAAATTAATCTTAGTTAAGAAATTAGCTTTTAATTTTTAATTTATTTTCATATGTCTCCCATCTTAATTTAGCCACAATCTCTTTTAATTAAAATGGAAGATTAAATCTATTTTAC